AATGCATTATTAATATATCACTATCATTTGAGTCTCCTCAGAAATAGAATTATTGAAATTTTTTCCATGGAGTTCAATGTACTGAACAAGTTGAAGTGGATTTTTTACTTTATTTCTTTTTTCTTGATTATTTTTTTTAATTTTCTTTTCTGTGGCTGGCTCAGGTTGCCTTCGGAGCAGGTGTGGTAGGACTTGAGGAAAGGGAATTTCAAACACAGCAGATCAGATACTCAGTGCTCTGACACAATAGGATCCTAAAGAGCTCAGTCAACAATGCACCAGTCTAATGAAACCATTCGCTTGTCCATGTATAGCTGATGGTTTCAACTTTATGAGAGGATAAGAAGAGGGCATTCTACTCTTATAACTCATGGTTTGAACTCTTTGAGACACACTTAGAGTTTGAAGCATGAGTTCTAAGAGGAGAAAGTCCTGCTAAATGCTAGGCATTTTCGGGAGCTGGACCTTCCTCAGTCTGTTCAGGTATCCAGTATAAAACTGAATTTCCCATTCCAAATTCCTTTGGCTTCCCCAGAAATTCACCATTTCCACAGTGCCATTCCCCTGAAAAACCTCTAGATGAAGAAGTTTGGGAGGGCCTCCCAGTTCTTTCTATGAAAAAATTGCAGAATGATTTTTTTTCTTGTGGTTAGCTAAGAATGCCATCAGGGCATGTTTGACTGGCTGAAGTTGTGGGGATCGAAGAACAGAAACCTGAGACTGACTGCTTTGTTGAAGCAGCCACTTAAACAACTGAGATAAGGGGCAGGCCCCTGTCCAAAACACACTTACTCATGCCTTTCTTCTTAAGAGCCCCAATGGGACTCCACTGTGCAAAGCCTGAATTCAGGTGTATCTGATTCTTTCCAATGTAGTGTTTGAGTGCCTAAGTGTGAATTGTTAGTGGAAAAATTCCAGAGTGTCTAGGCCCTTTGGGAACACGGACCCTCCTTAAGCTGTTCTCCCACACAGCTCCCAACAGGACTTACACTCCCAAATTCAAAAAAACACATTAATTAATACATCACCAGCGTGCAAGTCTCTTCTGAAATCATTTCAGGGAATATTCTTCCATTGAGTTACCATAGAGAACAAGTTGAGATGGATTATATTTTTAATTCCTCCTGCTGGCCTGGCTTGCCTACAAAGCAGGTGTGGTAAGGCTCAAAGAACAGCGATTCCAAACACAGCCACGTGAGACTCAGTGCTCTGACTTAATAGGCTCTGAAAGAATTCAGGTAATGCGCACACCAGAATTCAAAAGACTTTCTCTCCTCTTCACTGCTATGGTATGCAATTTCCCAGTCTATTGAAAGCATTCACTGTTCCATGTATAAGTGACAGTTTCGACTCTATGATACGGGAACAAGATTACTTTCTCCTCTTAGAAAAACTCTCCAAATTCCTTAAAATTCAGACAGTGAGTTCTAAGAGGAGAAAATCCAGCTACAGGCTAGGCCTTTTGGGAAGCTGGCCTTCCTACATCTGGGCCAGTATCCAGGGAAAACAGAATTTCTGGTCCAACTTCCTTTGACTAACGCAGTAATTCACCATGTGCACCTCCCTGAAGTTCCGGACTCCCAGGTCTTTTTACAAAAAAATGGAATAAGGACCTTTTTTTGCACCAAATGCCTTCAGGGCAGCTTTTCCTGCCTTGAGTTGTGGGGAATCGAACTAGAGCAACTTGAGGCTAATAGCTTTGTGGAAGCAGCCACTTAAAGAACTGAGCTAGAGACAGGCCCCCGACTAAAACACACTTCCTCAGCCATTTCTTCTTAAGGGCCACAATGAGACAAAGCTGTGCCTGGTCTGATATTCCCAGGTGTATCTCATTCTCTTCACCATAAAATTTCTGTTTCCAATGGTGAATCGTTGGTGGAAAAATTCCGGAGAGGTTCTAGGCCCATTGCAAAGAGGGGCCCTCCAAAAATCTTGCCCCTAGAGGGCCCCCAACAGGACTTCTGGTCACCAGTTCAACTGGAAAACACATTCATGAATAAATAACCAGCAGCCGAGTCTACACAGAAACAGTTTCATGGAAAATGCTTCCATCGAGTTCCATATAGAGAACAATTAATTAATTAAAAATTAATTTCAATGGCCCAGGGAGATGGCTCAGTGGAGTAAGCACTTCCCTGGCTAGGTGAAGGGCCTGAGTTCAATTCCTGGTTCTGCCAAAAACAAAAATTATTTTCCATTATTTTAATTTAATTCTGGTAAAGCTCAAGGTACAGGGATTCAAAACACAGCCTCCTGAATCTCAGTGATCTGACTCAATAGGCTCAGCAAGACCTCAGGTAATGTCCACAGCAGAATACCACAGGCTTTCTCTCTCACCTTTCCTGCTGTGGGACCAAATTTGCCCATCTAGTGAAGGCATTCACCGTTCCATGTAGAAATGTTGCTTTCCAAGATATGGTTCGAGGAAAAGATATTTTTTCTCTCAGAATTCACCTCCATACTCTGAAGGCCTTTGGAGGCTGAGTTCTAATAGAAGAAAGTCCAACTAAATGCCAGGCCTTTTCAGAAGCTGGGCCTTCCTAAGGCTGCTCCTGTCTCCAGGCAAAAATTGAATTTCTAGTCCCAATTCCTTTGGCTACCTCAAACATTCACCATGTAATCCGCATCCAGTCCCAGAGAAAACAACCATTCTCCCTGAAATTTCAGCCTCCCACTCACAGTCCTTTCTAGAAAAAAAAAAAAGAATAAGGATTTTTTTTGCTCTTCGAATGCCTTCAGGGCATGTTTGGCTGGCTGGAGTGTTGTGGGAGTTGAACTACAGCAACCTGAGGCTGACAGCTTTGTGGAAGCAGCCACTTAAAGAACTGAGCTACAGCCAAGCTCCTGACTACAACATACTTGTACAGCCCTTTCTTCTTAAGGGCCAAAACAGGACCCAGCTGTGCCAGGCCAACATCCCCAGATGTATCTCATTTTCTCACCATAGGATTTCAGTTTCTAAGGGTTATTCTCTGGTGGAGAAATTCCTGAGAGGTTCTAGGCCCTTGGCCTAGGTGGCCCTCCTAAACCTTTTCCCGTAGACAGCCCCCAGCAGAACTTCCGGTCACCAATTCAACAGGAAAACACATTCATGAATACATGACAAGCAGGCGAGTCTCCTGGAAAATAGTTTCATGGAAAATGCTTCCATCGAGCTCCATGTAGGGAACAAGTGGAGCTGGATTATTTTTAATTACCTTAAAAATTTAAAAAAAATTTAATTTTTTAAAATTAATTTTAATGGGCCAGGGAGATGGCTTAGTGGAGTAAGCACTTCCCTGGCTAGGGGAAACGGCCTGAGTTCAATGCCTGGTTCTGCCAAAAAAAAATTATTTTTAAGTACTTTAATTTAATTTCGGTAAAGCTCAAGGTACAGGGATTTGAAACACAGCCTCCTGAATCTCTGACTCAATAGGCTCAGCAAGACCTCAGCTAACGTGCACAGCAGAATTTCAAAGGCTCTTTCTCTCCCCTTTCCTGGTATGGGTCTCAATTCGCCCATATAGTGAAGGCATTCACCGTTCCATGTAGAAATGTCGGTTTCAAAGATATGGTTTGAGGAAAAGATATTTTTCCTCTCAGAATTCACCTACGAACTCTGAAGGCATTTGGAGGCTGACTTCTAAGAGGAGAAAGTCCAGCTAAATGCTAGACCTTTTCAGAAGCTGGGCCTTCCTAAGGCTGCTCCATTCTCCAGGCAAAAATTGAATTTCTGGTCCCAATTCCTTTGGCTACCTCACCCATTCACCATGTAATCTGTGTCAGGTCCCTGAGAAAACAACCATTTTCCCTGAAGTTTCAGCCTCCCACTCCCAGTCCTTTCTAGAAAAAGAATGGAATAAGAATTTTTTTGTTTCTCCTCAAATACCTTCAGGGCATGTTTGGCTGGCTGGAGTGTTGTGGGAATCGAACTACAGCAACCTTAGGCTGACAGCTTTGTGGAAGCAGCCACTTAAAGAACTGAGCTAGGGCCAGGCTACCTACTAAAATACACTTGCTCAGCCCTCTCTTCTTTAGGGCCACAATGGGACCCAGCTGTGTCAGGCCTGACATCCCAAAGTATATCTCATTTTCTCCACTGTACGCTATCAGTTTCTAAGGGTGAATCTCTGGTCGAGTAATTCCTGAGAGGTTCTAGGCTTATTGCCAAGTGGGCCCTCCTAAACCTTTTCCCCTCGACATCCTCCAACAGGACTTCCGGTCCCAATTCAACTGGAAAACGCGTTCATGAATACATCACGAGCATGCGAGTCTCCTCGAAAATTGTTTCATGGAAAATGCTCCCATCGAGTTCCATGAAGAGAACAAGTGGAGATGGATTTTTTTTAATTTCCTTAAAAATTTAAAAAAAAATTTTAGTTTTTAAAAATTAACTTCAATGGCCCGGGGAGATGGCACGGTGGAGTAAGCACTTCCCTGGCTAGGGGAAGGGCCTGAGTTCAATTCCTGTTTCTGCCAAAAAAAAATTATTTTAATGATTTTAATTTAATTCCGGTATAGCTCGAGGTACCGGGATTCAAAACACAGCCTCCTGAATCTCAGTACTCTGAGTTAATAGGCTCAGCAAGACCTCAGCTAATACGCAAAGCAGAATTCCAAAGGCTCTTTCACTCCCCTTTCCTGCTATGGGACCCAATTCGCCCGTATAATGAAAACATTCACCGTTCCATGTAGAAATGACGGTTTTGAAACTATGGTTTGAGGAAAAGACATCTTTCTCCTCTTAGAACTCACCTCATAACTCTAAAAGAGTTTGGAGGCTGAGTTCAAAAGGAGAAAGTCCAGCTAAATGCTAGGCCTTTTCAGAAGCAGGGCCTTTCTAAGGCTGCTCCGGTCTCCAGGCAAAAATTGAATCTCTGGTCCCAATTCCTTGGGTACCTCACCCATTCACCATGTAATCCGCGTCTGGTCCCAGAGAAAACAATCATTCTCCCTAAAGTTTCATCCTCCCACTCCCAGTCCTTTCTAGAAAAAAATGGAATAAGAATTTTTTTTTTTTTTTTTGCTCCTCAAATGCCTTCAGGGCAGGTTTGGCTGACTGGAGTGTTGTGGGAATCCAACTACAGCAACCTGTGGGTGACAGTTTTGTGGAAAAAGGCACTTGAAGAACTGAGCTAGGATCAGGCTCCCGACTAAAACACACTTGGTTAGCCCTTTCTTCTTAACACCCACAATGGGACCCATCGGTGCCAGGCCTGACATCCCAGGTGTATCTCATTTTCTCCACCATAGGATTTCAGTTTCTCAGTTTGAATCTCTGGTGGAGCAATTCCCGAGAGGGTCTAGGCCCTTAGCCAAGGAGGCCCTCTTAAACCTTTTCCCCTAGACAGCCGCCAGAAGGACGTCCATTCCCCAATTCAACTGGAGAATGCGTTCATGAATACATCACGAGCAGGCGAGTCTCCTCGAAAGTAATTTCATGGAAAATGCTTCCATCGAGTTCCATGTAGAGAACAAGTGGAGATGGATTTTTTTTAATTCCTTAAAAATTAAAAAACAATTTTAATTTTTTAAAAATTAATTTTAATGGGCCAAGGAGATGGCTCAGTGGAGTAAGCACTCCCTGGCTACAGGAAGGGCCTGAGTTCAAGTCTTGGTTCTACAAAAAAAAATGTTTTTTAATTATTTTAATTTAATTGCAGTCAGGCTAAAGGTACAGGGATTCGAAACACAGCCTCCTGAATCTCAGTGCTCTGACTCAATAGGCTCAGGAAGACCTCAGCTAACGTGCACAGCAGAATTCCAAAGGCTCTTTCTTTCCCCTTTCCTGCTTCAGGACCCAGTTCGCCCGTCTAGTGAACGCATTCACCGTTCCATGTAGAAATGACGGTTTCCAAGCTATGGTTCAAGGAAAAGAGATCTTTCTCCTCTCAGAACTCACATCCAAACTAGTTCTAAGAGGAGAAAGTCCATCTAACTGCTAGGCCTTTTTGGATGCTGGGCCTTCTAAGGCTGCCCCAGTCTCCAAGCAAAAATTGAATTTTGGTCCCAATTCCTTTGGCTACCTCCCCCATTCACAATGTAATCCGTGTCTGGTCCCTAAGAAAACAACTATTCTCCCTGAAGTTTCAGCCTCCAACTCCCAGTCCTTTCTAGAAAAAAATGGAATAAGGATTTTTTTTTCCTTTGCTCCTCAAATGCCTTGAGGGCATGTTTGGCTGGCTAGAGTATTGTGGGAATCTAACTACAGCATCTTGAGGCTGACAGCTTTGTTCAAGCAGACACTTAAAGAACCGAGCTAGGGCCAGACTCCCGACTAAAATGCACTTGTACAGCCCTTTCTTCTTAAGGGCCACAATGGGACCCAACTGTGCCAGGTCTGACAGCTCCAGTTGTAGAACAACTAAAGAATTTCATGTTGACAAAGCCAAGCCTACACAGACTACTAAATGATGTTCTAGAGAGGGGCAAATTGATCAAAGCCCCATGAATGAGAATGGAAAGAACCCACCAAATAGGGCAAACAAACAGAGGAGAATAAGGGGTATATAGTAGTAGTCTTTCACTTATTCTTTTGTATTCAGCAGCAGAATATTTCCATTAGCACACTCTACAAATAGACTTCTTTTCCACCCTATGGGTCATGATTCCACTTGAGTCTACAGGGGGGATTTCAAAGAAATAGCTGTAGCTCAGTTCCACAAGTGACACCTAGCCACCAGTAACTGTCACAGTCATTATGCATGTCCAAAACACACTAGAACTTTGTGCGATATCCTATCCTCAAACTGTTAGAAGTGCTGGTCATTTATTTGCCATTCCAGTATTTATCTTATGTTTTACTCTTAGTACTTCTTTACTATCATGAAAACTTTTTCTTAGTTCAATTGTTTTGAATCATTTAATTTTCTGAATATCGCTTAATCTTAATTTTGTTCTAAGATTTATACTGTATCTTTGACTTACAATTTATTTTTAAAAAATTGTATGATATCTTCCCCTAGTATTAGAAACTTCAAAAAGTATATTTACATTTTCTGTTGACTTAAAAAAAGGGGTGTTTGTACCTATGTTATTTGCTTATTCTTGCCTAAATCTTGTAATATGAGAAACCACTTTGGCAATAACAACACACAATGTACTAACCATTGTTACTCTCCTAAAATCTTGTTTTGAGATTTTGTACCTCTGTTTTTATATATTTTTCTTTCTTTAAAATAAAAATAACTGATGTCAATAAATTAAAAAAAGAAAAAAGAAACAGCTGTAGCTCAATTCCACAAGTGACGCCAAGCCACCAGTAACTCTCACGGTCATTATGCATGTCGACAACACACTAGAACTTGTGTGATATCCTATCCTCAAATGATTACAAGTGCTGGTCACTTTCTTGCCATTCCATTATTTATCTTATGTTTTATTCTTAGTACTTCTTTGCTATCATGAAAATTTTTTCTTAGTTCAATTCTTTGAAACATTTAATTTTCTAAATATTGCTTAAACTTAATTTTTGTTCTAAAATCTAAAATGCATCTTTGACATAAAATTTATTTAAAAGACATTGTATAATATATTTTCCTAGTATTAGGAACTTTAAAAAGTATATTTCCATTTTCTGGTGACTTTAAAAAAAAAAAAAAGAGGTTTGAGTACATCCCCCACCCTGCCCGCCAAGTAGGAATATCTGCCGCTTTACAGGAACCCCCAGACCCAGTCCCAGCCCAGATCCGGTGAGTGTGTGGAGAGCTTCCTGCTACCCTGCGCTGGCGGGACCAGTCCCAGCCCAGGCGCAGCATAGGCCAGACCCTCTCCCACCCCCGTGGGCCGACCCCACCACTCCCCAGTACATCCCCCAACCTGCCCGTCGAGTAGGAATTTCTGCCACCTTCCAGGAACCCCCAGACCCAGTCCCAGCCCAGATCCTGTGAGTGTGTGGAGAGCTTGCTGCTACCCTGCACTTGCGGGACCAGTCCCATCCCAGGCGCAGCATGGACCAAACCCTCTCCCACCCCCTCGGGCCACCCATCATCACTCCACAGCACCTCCACATGCCGCCTTCCGGGTAGGAATTCTGCGGAGTTCTGGGAACCCCCGGACCCAGTCTTAGCCCAGTCCAGTGTGTGGGAGAGCTTCCTCTTCCCCCTACTTCACCTTGCCCCTCCAGGCACAGCTCAGGCCTGGCATACATGCCTGGGGTGTAACCCAGCAGTTGCAATCCCTGCAGAGAATGAAGAGGATAGTTCCACCCAGCTAGTCCAGGAGCAGAACATCTTGCCACAGGGGCACAACATATTCACCCTCAAGGGCAGCAGAGGGAAGGAGCTGAGCACAGCAGCCAGGACTAAGCCAGACGCAGCTGGAAAGTCCAAACTTTGTAGAGCTGCACCTGAACTTCAGTACGTGTAAAGGTTATAACTACAGCAAAGATCTAAAACAAAGGGCAGAAGACAGTGCTACACAAAATGACGAGAAGGAACAAAATGCAACCTCAGAACCCAAGCCCATACATAACAAGTGCAGGGGACACTAACACAGAACAAATTGGAAAACACACAGCTGAAAGCAATGAATCAACTGCTTCTGAAATAAAGAAAGAGCTGCAGAAAGATATAGAACACCTCATATTGGAAATGAAAAAAGAAATCCCTGAATTAATAACATCTGCACTAAAGAATCAAATGCAGAAATATATGGAAGAAACCCAGTACCCACCCAGAACAAGTGCGGAGGACTCTAGCTCGGCCTAAATGCAAGAATTAAGAGCATCGATAGTAA